TTTTTTTTTTTTTTTTTGGTTGCTAATTGTGCATTGAGACATTAGATGACTGCAGTTGATCTGCAAAGCTCAACAGATCTTTGCACCCGTTTGTGTTTTACATTAAAAATTCCTGATAAGTGTTTAATTCTGCACAGCTGACATGTTAAAATGTTGGGCATTCAGTACTGTAGCACAACAGCTGTGTGCATAATTTAGACTCTTTTTATTTAGAGTTGTGTCCCACTGGAGCTTTTTAAAATTCACTTGTGAGATTTTCTGTGTCACAGCTGATCGATACAGGGGCTCTTACACCAGTAAAAAGGGGATTGTGGACAAAAGTATTATTATTATTATTATTATTATTATTATTATTATTATTCACTGTTAAAAGTTGAAAGGAAGGCGATAATGCACCATATTTGACTCAATATTTTTTCACTCAGTTGTCTGTATTTTTAATTTTTGTACAGTCTGTTTGCTGCTGTTACAGAACACATTACGTTTTTTTCTATATATAGTTATTGTTAATCTCTAGAGACAAAAAGCACCAGAAGAACTTTGACAGAATTTCTTTTATGTGTAGCATTGGTGAAATAAAAGCAAAGACATGAAAATGATTTCCTCCTTTGCTGTCGTCTTGTAGCACACAATAGGTGCTCCATGTTCCAACTAGTCACCTGGTGCTAACAGCAGCCTGTTTGTAGTGATTAGTCCCCACCCCTGTTGACTGGACCAAACACATGCTGATTTAAGCTCTCCGGCCCCCTGAGGTTGATGAAAATCCCTGCAGTGGAGAAGTGATGTGGGAGGGGGTGAAAAGCATCAGCATAGGGAGAAGGCAATATGTGAAGCACCATAGGGAGAAGGTGGCGCGTGTTGCACCATGGGTGGAAAGCACTATGTGCCGCACCGTGGGGGGGACGACATTATGTGGAACGCCATATTGCCCTCGTGCTTCCTACAGGGCTAATAGTCCTGACTGTTTTGTCCTCTCACAAAATCAGGACACAATCATAATTTTACTCTGATTGGCTTTTTTTTTTCAATGTGAGAACGTGTCACTTTGTGTGTATTTACTAAGTTAATACAGCTGTACACATGTAACACAAACACCGTGACTGAATGCATTGAATTTTAGAACRTTGAAAGAAACATCTTGTGTGGTTTATGCGTGAACTCTAATCGAAACTGTAAACTCTATTGCACAAAGGCAAAGATGGATTGATAAATTTTAATGTGGTGAAAGCTGAGGTTCGTTGTGACGTTCAGTACTGATACTAAGTAAAACGCAGGCTGGTATTAGCAACTGATTCAACACTGATACTTGGTGCAAATACACCTAACGTGTATGTTAATCTAAAAAAGGTACCATTTTTCAAATATCCGCTTCATAAAGAATACATGACATAGACTAATATATTTATTTGCTTAAAACTCAGAAGTGTATCGATGTAGTGCCCTCATTTACAATATAACTGAGCTAAAAGAAAAATAAACAGAGAACACAAAACAAACTATGTGAAAATTGTACTTTAGATAACAGAAAATGTAGTGCAATAAAAATTAATTATTGTTCAATGATCAAGAAATACTATAAAAATGAAATATTGCACATTACTTTGTTACATGAATATAAATGACATGAGATTTGCCATTAATTTGTATGGTAGCTCCAATTCAATATATCTTAAAATAAATTTTAACTAGTTAAAAATACTGTTTGAGGTGGCTCTAAGTTAGTTTTGAGTAGTCATTATTTGCTTTCTGGCTATTGATGATTCCAACATTATTCAGGATATCTTAAATGTATTGTTAGATATGACATAAAGATTTGACTTAGTGTAAAGTAAACTGCAGATACCTTGAAAGCAAAGAACAACTAGGCAAAACTAAATTAGAGATATCTAGAGCTGTATTTTTGACTACAGTCAAAATTTCTTTTAAGATATTTTGAATTGTTCTTCTGACTRGTCACAATGTAAAAACAGATATGTTAAATTACTATTCAGAAAAGTCTAAATGTAGTCAAAACTATTTTTAATAATCTAGAATATAATTACTGATAGTCAGACTGTGCTAATGTGTTACCCAGGTGGAAGAAAAAGTAGTTCCTTCCAACCACCTTAGACAAGCTTAATTACGTACCAAACTGTTCCTGTTAATAATATACATTACCTGAAATGACTGAAATATCAAAGTTCCAATATTTTGATTTTAAAACTGATCATAGAGCATAAAGTTCCRRTATTTGATTTGATTTATTAATTAGGATCCCTATTAGTTTCCACCAAGATGGTTACTAATCTTCTAGCCTGGTAAAAACCAGATCCTTGTCCTTCACTTTGCTTTGTACGAGGGTCTGGACTTTCGGCTTCATAGAAGTGATTCTTGCTGGAGGCGTGGCCTCTGCTGAAGTTTAAAA